CGCAGACCCCGCGTGCGGCAGTACCCACCCCCGCTCACGTGTGTCTCCCCCGCAGACCCCGCGTGCGGCAGTGCCCACCCCCGCTCACGTGTGTCTCCCCCGCAGACCCCGCGTGCGGCAGTGCCCACCCCCGCTCACGTGTGTCTCCCCCGCAGACTCCGCGTGCAGCAGTGCCCCTGGCTCCGGGCCCAGCTCGCCCAACAACAGTTCCAGCAACGTCAGCTCAGAGAACGGCATTGCGCCCACGGTCCCCAGCATTCCGGCCGAGGTCAGTGTGAAGCATCTCTGTCTGCCTGTTTCCCGTGCCTGGAGTCAGGTGCAAAGCCGTGGGGAGCCCCTGCCCTACTCATCTTGACTTTCTGAGTCGGGGAGAGGGGAGCTGACACGGGGTCCTCCCGTAGAAGCTGCCGTGGGCCTCTTCCCTCGACTGTTGCAAACACGTCAAGTACAGGCTCCACACAGGGGCATCGAAACCCACCCTCCTCCAGGTCTTTTTTCAGAGTGTGTCCTGTTAGATACCACGGAAACACAAACATGTGCACAGGCGGGGCTCAGGCGAGCAGGACCCCTCCACCCAGTGTCTGGGGGACAGCGGGCACGTAGGAATAGGAGTCAGAATGTTTGCTGTGTGTTGAGAGATACACAGATCAAAAACCGACCGTGCACACCTTCTGGCGAGGGAGGGAGGCGTCCGGGAGACCCAGGAGCCCAGGCCGTCGGGAAGAGCTATGGGGGTCCACACCCCCTGCCCCTGCCTTTGGCAGGCTGTGCTGGGCTTGGTTCCCCATGTTTCAGAGAGACATCAGGAAACTAGAGTGAGTGCAGAGAGGCTGCCAGGCTGAGAGGGTTCTGGAAATCACCTGGTGGGAATGATCGCAGACACTGGCATTCAGCTGAGCAGAAGGTGGCTCTGAGGGCAGCCAGGTGGGGGCACCGGGCGTCTGTGTGTCCTGCCCTGGCCAGAAAGGGGCTGTGGGTGACTTGCCAAGGCCGCACATTCGGGGGCCTTCTCCCATGCATTCGCACTGCTCCTTTGTCCCTGAGCCGCTGCCCACACTGGCCCTCGCCACCCCGGGAGTCAGGTCGCCCGCCCGGGGCCTGCCTCCACGTAGCCGCCCACATTCCTCCAAGAGGTGAGCATGACAGCGCCCGGGAGAGGCGAGAAGCCGTGCTGTGCCCGCAGGCCATGTGACGGCCGGGTGCCCGCAGCCGAGGCCCCTGGGCATGGTGTTTCTGGTGTAAGTTGCCAGGAGCGCAGGCTGCTTCTCGAGGCCAGGCTCTGTCGACTGGGAGGTTCTCGTGAGTTCCTTCTCACTCACAGGAGGCTACAGCTTCTTCAATACAGTTGCTTGCTCTCCTTCATAAATATCTGGAAATGAATCTTGCTCTTGCAAAGGGTTGACAAACACTCGTTTGGACACCCAAGTACAAGAGCATGACATTTTCATTTCAAATTTCTAGACCCTTGACATATAAAAAGATGTTTTAGAAACTAAGGTTATTGCTAGGAAAGAATTCAGCACAATGATTCTAGCTTCGCCCAACTCCGTCTCCTCCTCTCTTCAGTTCATACATGTATTTTGTTTACTCCTGGCTCTTTTCAGCCCACTAGTTTAAGTACTTATTTAGGTTATTAAAAATCTGAACGATGCTTATCTGTTAAGACCGAGGTCGTGGCTGAGGTCTACCTTTCATTAGCCTCAGAACACAACCTGGAAATTGCTTCCTGCCCTTTGATATCAATGCCAGTTACATCTTGTTAATCGTGGTCCTGGGTACTTGTTTGTTTAATGCGGACAGTGGTGTACTTAGTGGTTCAGACTGTAGCAATGCCTTCTTTGGAGTGGATCTACGTGCTTCCAGTTTAAGTTATGTGTTCATTTTTACAAATCCTGGGCCGAGGGCCGAGACTCCACGTGTCCACCTATTTGGCAGGGACGCTAAGCAGTGTAACCACACAAGTGTCCGGAGGCAGCTTCCCCTCCAAAAATCAACTCAGTGCAACAGTAGCCTTGGCTACAAGCAGGAACTTCTAACTCTGTAAACATGCAGAATGTCCGCGTGTTTTGATCCCAGTGTTTGTTACACGGGAGGGTCATGCTGTACTTGGCAGCCTCGGTCTCATTCCCTGAAGGAGAACTTGCCGATACTTCTTTTACTTTTGACAAAAACCTTGTTGTCTAGGAACATCACTTCCCACGACAGTGCTTTAATCCTCACGGCTGCACAGTGTAATGTGTGAGCGAGCCTAAAGGTAGATGAAACAGTGTCTCTGGGACGAGATGCAATGTGGCCCTGAGTGACAGAGCCGTTCCTTCTGCCTCACCCTCACTTCACCAGGGGAAACATTTGTAAGGTGTGTGTTGCCGAGTGACTCTGAAACGTGATGCCCTGTGTCGGCTGGCTCCCTGAGGGAACTGGAGGGCACAGCTTTTTAAACACACACCCTGAGATGGTGCTCACGCCATCCTCTGGTAGGAACGGAGAAGAAACTCCTAGCTGGGCTGCAGACCTGCTCACCGAGTCTTTCTCTTGGAAATGAAATTTTAGAGTGTTCAAAACGCCAGTCATCTTCATTATCTAGCCCACTGTGAGGACAAGGAGAAAAATCCACATACGTGTTCCTTATTAAGATTCCTTTCTGTTGCCCTGTGTCCTGTTTGCCAGAACCTGTTAGCCGACATCTCTGTAGAATCACTTCTGCATTCTGTCCTTTGTTTTTGCTCATTTGTTTGAGTATCTACAGCGTACAGGATACAGTGGTGAATAAAACATAATCCTTTCTTAGCAAAGAGTACCCATTCCAGAAGCAAAATGATGCTCAGTATCAGTGTGATTCACATCCTCAGGGACTGCTGCTGCCAGCCCTTTTCCAGCTGGCCTTCTCGGCTGTTCTGGGCTTCACACTCTTAGCCGGAGCCCGCTTTTTCTAAAGTGTGGGATTCCGTAATTTGTTTTCAGAACTCTCCAATAGACAGTGTCATAAACAAGCTTCCGCACAGTCGCCGACAAGATTTTCCCAACCTCCTAAACATCCCAGCAGATTAAACGTCCCTTCATTCATCTAACCCTGATTTATTGCTGGATAAGAGGAGGGTCAGTGAAAAAGAGGAAGACCCTCCACGAGATGGACTGACATAGTGGCTGCAACAACGGGCTCAAGCATAACAACGATTGTGAGGATGGCGCAGGACCAGGCAGGGTTTCGTTCTGTTGGACACGGGGTGGCTGTGAGTCAGGACCGACTTGACGGCACCCAACAACAGTGACAACAACCTCTGCTATAAACAAGTCTGCAGCTAAGATTATTTCCTTAGATTGTTTTTTAAGAGTATTTCCAAAACGCTCTGTTTTAGGGCCAAAGGTTAGATCACTTTTTAAGGCTTCTGACATGGATTGCCAAACTGTCCTGCACAAATGGTGAACCCATGTATAATCCACCCAGCACTGTGTTTAACTCTCTCTTTCTCAGGGCCAAGATGGTATTCTCATTTTTTCTAAATCTTTGCCGATTGGATAGGTTATTCCAGAGGGTCTTAGATCACCAGAGGTGTGAAGGTTCTTTCCCCCTCATATGGGGCCCTTTGTCGCTCGACTCTGCTGTTCCCTTCTCTCGTTTTTAATGTTTAGCTTTGAGAGTGGTTTGAATATTAACCTTTGTCTTGTCATTATGTTATTAATGTTGTTTTCACTGCCATTTACCTTTAACATCTGGGATTTTTTTTTTCCTCTTTTTCTTTTTTTTAATCACTATTTTCCCCTTGCTCCTTGGAAGCGAGGAGAGAGACTTCATCTCACATGCTTTGGACAGGTTGTCAGGAGGGATCAGCCCCTGGAGAAGGACATCAGGCTTGGTAATGTAGAGGGTCAGCCAAAAAGAGGAAGACCCTCAATGAGATGGACTGACACAGTGGCTGCAACAATGGGCTCAAACATAACCACGATTGTGAGGATGGCGCAGACCGGGCAGTACTTTGTTCCGTTGTGCATAGGGTCGCTATGAGTTGAAATCGACTCCCTGGCAGCCAACAACAATAATTTTCCCCTTTGGTTTCTGCCTTTGATGTCCTGTTTGGAAGAAACACTCCCAACTCCAAGAACACATTTGGAAGGATATCATCCTAGATTATCTTGTGATAATTTTACAGTGAATAAGTGATTCAAATGAAGGTAACCAGAGTTTGTGGGTTGTGCATCCGAGTGTTTTCCTGCAGCCCCTCTGTGTGCAGCACGCCCTGAAACACTGTGCTCACGCGATACAGCCTGTAATTTGTCGACTGTCCTTTGCACTGAGGTGTCCCGGGACTCAGGGTGGAATGCCCTCCGCACGTGTTTGCCACCCTCTCTGTGGGTGTGTGGCTTGCGCTTGACTGATGGATTCCATTTGTGACACTCACCCTGTGCTCTGTTCACAGACCACCCTGGCGCACAGACTGGTGGCCCGCGAGGGCTCGGTAACCCAGCTCCCCCTTTACACGTCACCTTCCTTGCCCAACATCACTTTGGGGCTTCCTGCCACCAGCCCTTCCACTGTAAGTAGTCCCTCGCGGTCTATGTGATGGGTGCCATCATGCTCCCCCACGCTGACCGTCTCTTGCACGTTCCAGGGGGTGGCCATCACAGTCCCCCCACACCCCTGACCGTCTCTCATTGTTCGTTCCAGAGGGCGGCCATCACAGTCCCCCCACCACTGACTGTCTCTTGTTCGTTCCAGGGGGCGGCCATCATAGTCCCCCCCCGACCCCTGACCATCTCTTGTACGTTCCAGAGGGCGGCCATCACAGTCCCCCCCAGCCCTGACCATCTCTTGTACATTCCAGAGG